CATGCTAGTAAGGGGGTGAGGAACCCAGGAATCCTGGTTCCCAGAGTCTTCAGCTAGCCACAGTGGAGTCAAACGAGTGTGTTGTCCAAGTAGCAATCAGGGATGTTTCTTTGATCTTTACAATTACTTTTATATAAAAAAAAATCAGTGGAAAGTGTATGAAACAAAAGAAGAGAGGAAGGGTCAGAAACAGGGATATAAGCAACTATCCAATAAGCATAAGTTTATCGGATAGTTGACTAGTGATGCGACTAGTCCCTTCTCTGCCCTTGCTGCTTCTATCAGAGAGAGGCAGCTGGTGCTGGGGGGGAGCCAGTATAAAAGCTGGTCCCCCCCAGCACTGTCTCCACAGGGGGCAAGAGAGGTAGAGGTGCACAGCAGGAACCCGCAAGAGTGGGGCTCTTGTACATTTCAAAAGCAGAAGCCCCACAGGGAGCGTGGGGCGAGTGAGGGATTCCCCCACTAGCCTCTAGCTCCCTTCAGGACTTCCTTTTGAAACATTCAAGAGCTCCACCGGGTCTCGTGCATTTCAAAGGCTCAGGCGCCGCAGGGAGCGTGGGGCCAGTCCCCTGCTGGCCCCACACTCCCTGTGGGGCTTCCGCTTTTGAACTGTAGCAAGAGCCCGGCAAGGCCCTTGCTACAGTTCAAAGGCGGAGGCGCCCTTATAGACTAAATTGAATAGTTCATGGAAATCCCATTGACTATTCGATTCATTAATTAATTAACCTAAATTTAACGTCCCTAGTCAGAAAAGGAGTTAATGAGGAGAAACACAAAGGCTGGAGATGGGGCAGTTCAACCAAGTCACACCAAGTGTACCCAGCCTTCCACACTAAATTACCTCACCCCCGTCCTTTAAGCTGCGTAACATGACAATGACAATGAACATGCACATACAGGGAATGCCAAAGATCAGGCTCAGGCCTGAACCCCACTTTGTGCCAGGCAGGTCTGGGGATCTATTTATATACAACTGTAAAGTTTGTAGAAAATGCTGGCTTCTTGCCCCATTCAAGGCTTGAATGGGGAAAGTTAAGAATGGAGCCTTCAGCTGCATTCCTTCAAACCCACATGACAACAAGAGCATTGTGGAAAAGAGGAGAATGTGTGTGAAAAAGCTTTGCCCAATGACAATAACATGACTTTGTCATGCTGACATTCTCCTTTAATTTTTTCCTCCAAACAAGAGGCATCCCTCATATATGTTACTAGAAAATTTACATGGCATTGCTTGGTCCTTTACTCAAATAATGTTGGGGGTTTTTTTCCATGTAAATCATTGCTCTGGGGTGGGACTGGGGAGGAAAGGCTCAGTATGCAGGCTTCCCTTGGAAGAGAGGACAACCCCAGTCTTCTCTCACTGCAGCAGCTTGAGGCCAGGCGAGAAGCACCTTTCTGTGGCTGCTGCAGTGGGCATAGCCACAGGAGGGATGCATATCCCCCGACTGCAAGAGAGAGACAGATACACAGACAGACAAATTCTCTCAAATATACAGTAGATAGCTGTCCCTTTCTCCACCCATGCGCCCTGCTGGCCCAATGGGGTTACAGCTGGTCCAGTCCCTGGCTCTGGCTCCTTGCTGCCCCCTTGTGGTCACTCTACAGCATAACTCCCTCCTGCCAGACCCCTCCCCCTTTCGATTTTATGAAAAACACACATTCCAGGCACATCCCATTGTCCTGGCACAACCAAACCCTGACCTTGCTTTAAGCTGTGATAAGAGGATGCTGTCTACTGAATTTGGTAGCCCTAACTCTTACTGTTTAGGAGTTCTTGAACAGACAGACAGACTCACGCACAGATAGACAAACTCTCTCACATATATAGCAGACTACTGGAGTTAGTGCTGAGCTCTGGGAATCAGGACATCTGGCTTGTACTCACAGCTCCAGCCCCAATGGTATGACTTATGAACAAGTCACTTGAGGGCTGTGGGGTGGGGAAGAGGAGACATAAATACCTTTAAGGGTTAGGACCTAAAGTGAGTTGCCCAAAGTCACATAGAAGTCTGTAGCCTCCCAAGCCTTAGGCTAATGCCCTCATTATTGGACTACCCTTAATCAGTGGAGAGGATAAACAATAACATGAAAAATAGCAGGTTAAAACAATCACCCTTTATAAAGGAAATGTTCTTCCTCGTGTTACCAAGAACCTATCATGTAAAGAAAACTGAAGAAAGTTCTAAAAATGTAATGGTCCTTGTGTAGCTCAGTTTGGGCAATAAAAGTAAAACTAATAATGTTAGTACGTAGCCCTTATGTAGCATGATTCACTTAGGGAACTCAAATTGCTTTAGGAAAAGGGTGGTATTTTCCCAACGGGGGAAATGGAGGCACAGATGGGTGAAGTGTCTGGCCAGGTTCAGGGATAGTGTTGAGAAAAGAAACCAAGTTTTATTATTCACACACCATTGCCATACCCCAAGGGACCATCAACGCAGGTCAGTATAAACCCTCTAGAGTGGAAATGGACCACCAATGCAGGTCAGTATAAACCCTCTAGAGTGGACAGTGTTTCCAGTGAATGATTAGACAGCTGGTAAATTATGTCCACTGCTTTTCACGTTGACCAGTAAAATCTCGTTACTTTATCCTCCCTATGAGCTGAATCCATCTGTTGTTTCTTTTCTTATACTTGGACGGTAAGTTTCCCAGGACAGAGGCTCTCTTTCAGGTCTGTGTTTGTACAGCACCTACCACCGTTGGTCCCTGATCTCAGACGGGGGCACCAGCGATTACCACAATGCAATTTAATGATAATAATGGTCAGTTTCACAAGTTAAGTCAGTGTTGCTGTTTGACAGGGAAGGGGAAAGTTTAAATCCAGACAAGAAAGCTACTTTCACTGAGGATGGATGAAGATGAAGGATGGCAGTGAAGGGGGAAAGGACGACTTTGTGGCTAAAAGGCACAGGGCTGTCAGGACAGCTGAGCTGTAGTAGGAGTTCTGCTGCTAACGTATTGCATTGCCCTTGGGCAGTAGTAGGGATGCCCTGAACCAATTCCTCCCACTGGCTGACTTCTCATGATGCATTTTTTAAAGAGCACTCATGATAAGGAGACATGGGGCGGGTGGATAGGCTCTTCATGCAAAGAAAGGCTTAGGCCACTATTGTGGGTCTCAAGAGATCCTGATTCACTTCCTGGCTCTGCCACAGACCTCCTAGGTGTTGAACACAACACAGTCTCTGAGCACTTCAAACTACCCTCAGAACAATAAGCCAACCATGATCTGTGAGCATTTCACAATCTTTTACTGTAAGGGGGGCCCATATAGGTACCAAAGAGAATCATATTTCAGCTAGCAGAGCATGCGTTCACTGTCACGGAAACATGCTGATCTCATTCATAAGTTTTGCTGCTTGAGAGATCAGAATTCAAGTAGCATAAAACATATACTCCAGCATATGCCACAGCCGTAGCCAGCAGAGGCAGTATAGAAAAGCTTACGAAGCAAACACTACTTGCAGAGGACAGACTGTATAATGTCCCAGGACAACTCGCCAACTATCGGTTGAACTGAAACATACTTCACTTTTTTCTCAGTTAGAACATAAATATGAATGACTCATGTTTGTCAAGTAGCATAAAACATATACTCCAGCATATGCCACAGCCGTAGCCAGCAGAGGCAGTATAGAAAAGCTTACGAAGCAAACACTACTTGCAGAGGACAGACTGTATAATGTCCCAGGACAACTCGCCAACTATCGGTTGAACTGAAACATACTTCACTTTTTTCTCAGTTAGAACATAAATATGAATGACTCATGTTTGGAATTAGAGAGGCAAATCCTCAGCTGATGCAAATAGCCACAGATATCAAGAACTACAGCCATTTAGACCAGCTGAGAAGACGGCCGAGAAATTTTAGTCAGTTTCACTTCTTGATTCTTACACTATTTTGATGGTGCCATTCCAAGAACTGGAAAGAGGCTGTTTAACAAACTTGGAGGATGGGGTATATTTCAACTGTATTGTTTTAAAACATCTAACAAAAGCAAGAGCCAAAAATTCTGAAATGCAGATGCTTAAAGCAAGGCACCTCAACAAGTAGTCTGATTTTGAGAGGTGCACAGTATGTGCAATTTGCATGGACTCATTATGCCTCATCAGTTATGATCAGCCTCTACCTTCCAGGAGGACTCAAATTTTTCCCCAAGAGGCCCCATGTGAAGTGTCCCTGTAGTATTCTTATACAGCACAGCACCTAAAACCCTAAAATAACAAAACAAACTTTACAAACAATATGTCAATTAAGCCCTATAATACCCTGGTGAAGATGATGTTATTAGAGCCATTGCTGATGCCAGGTCTATGCTACAGGGAAAAAAAAAATCAACATAAGATACACAACTCCAGCTATGAGAACAGCATAGCTGGAGTCAACGTACCTTTGGTAGAATTTCTGCAGTGTCCCCATCGTGGGAGGTCGACACAAGAGTTTCTCCTGTTGAATTCCCTTACTCCTTGTGACCCAGTGGCGTACCAGGAAAGGGGTCCTTACTAGACCCGCTAAATCAAACCCTGAGTGATAGATCTCTGGAACATCCATATTGGGGTAAGTGAAGACAAGCCCTTGAGCACAGATTGAGTAAGGTCTGACCCTAGAGTCTCTGACATCTACGACCAAAATCCCCATGGATTTTAATAAGAGTAGGCCCTAAGAAAACTTTTCAAGGTTCCACAGTCAGCATTGGTGTGGAAATCAATGACCAACTGACTTGAAGGCTGCATGACCTAGATAGGAACAGAAACCTGGAATCCTGTATTCCTCTTCCCTCTTCTACCCCTTGGAAAACTTCCTCTCAGGGCTAGGAATGGAACCCAGAACCCCAACTCACAATCCCCTACTCTAACCTACAGATGACACGTACGTTGGGAGGCGAATACACTGATATTTCCCATAATTTATATGCCCTGCTTATAGATATGGTTTGATTGAAAGAGCAAAGGGACCCTTGCCTCCTACTTCACCATGGAACAAATATAGATCTTACTGATCATTGTGGTGCCTCCAGCCAGGGCAGCCTTGGTTCCTTGGAAAAAGTCATCAGCAGAGGTCATTCCCTGGTCCGGCATCTGGAAACGGGTGTGGACATCAATTCCCCCCGGGATCACCATCCGGCCATGGGCTTCGATAGTTTTCACTCCCCCTGGCACAATCAGATTCTCTCCAATTTGCCTGGGTAAACAGATTTCAATCAGTGAGTGAGTTACAAATGTTATACAATAATGAGAACATGGCTCGAGTGAGCTAGATGGTCTAGATATAATACCCTTTATCGGATGTCACCGAACCATAGAGCCTGAGCGGACAAAAAATCTGTCTCCATGCCTGCAGCTGAAACAGCACGAATGTATAGGGTTCTAGATACAAAATTTGTATCCACATCCACATTCATATCCACAAAAATAAGCTACAGATATCCACATCCACATATACGGATACCACGGATGTAAAGCGGATATCCATGGATTTGGGGGGCTCTACCTATACAACATAGAGCAATAGCAAAACGCAGCCTCATTACACTGAGGGCCGGCTTCACAGCAGTATATCTCATTTTTTTATTATTATTTTCTGCCGGCTCAAATCCCACTGGAGTCAGTGTGAGTCTTAAAACTGACTTCAAAGAAAGCTGAACTCAGCCCTTAACTACCAATACAATTATTCATTCTGGGATGTAACAGCCATTTAGATTTCCATGTTGTTTTGGGAAGGATTGCAAGAATTGCTGCATGTCTCCTCTCTACTTTGTTTCACACTAAAACATATGTACAGCAACCACAAAAACAAACCTGCACATATGCTGTTACCAAGCTCCTGATGAGACCCAAAAGCCCCTCAGTCTGGTTTTGCCAAGATTTATTTTCAAACACTGAACTGCGGATGGCACATCACAATTAATGAGGGGTCTTTCATTTGCTCCTCCAACGTCTAGCACTGATTAAGAAAGCAGATGTGCTGATTATACAGCCAGAACAGGAAAAGTTCCTGGTTTGTAACTTTTGCCCAGTCTATTTTTCCCTATGAGTTTTATTCCAAAGAAACGTGTAATACATTTAGTATGCCAGTACTGCATGCACAAGGACTAAAGACAAAGGTGAGCCTGAAAGAGGCCTAATCTAATGCCCCTTGAAGTCAATGAAATCTTTATAAATAGGACAATTTGAATGAGCTTTGGATTGGGCTTCAAGTCAGTTTGCTATACTCTGGATTTAGAATTCCCTAGCACCCAATGCAGAAAGATACTTAAGCATGTGACCAGCATAAATAAAGCATATGGGGAGTTCCAGTGAACTCAAATCATGCAAGTATTTGTTACAGAACGTTAATGAATATGTTAAATAGAATATATAGTACTTTTTAATTGTATTTAAGCACCGTGTTTTTAGACTCTCTCCAACTGAGCATCTCACAGTGCATTATACATTCATTTCTTTCTGAATTCTAATATAGTTCTCGATACTGAGTTGTTCTTGCAGTTCTGCAGTGCATTTACATTACAATTGCTGTTTTCAATCACACCATTGTATCAGGCTGCACTCACTTTATCAACCCATCTTCCATGTAAATATCTGCGTAGAAAGACTGGTCATCGTTAACTATTTTACCACCCTTGATCAAAAGACGATCGCTCTGAAACACAAAAAAGTAACAATACATAATTAGTCTGTAAGAAAACTGACAGTTTGCAGCATAAGTTCAGAGATAAAAGAAGAAAGGGAAACAAGCTTTGAATTATTCAAAGGGCATGTCAAAAAACAAGTCAATTACAGTACTTTCAACTGTAAAGATAAAATATCATTTCAACTGCAAATTCTTTCATCACTCTAATGATCCAAGAGCAAGCTATATCCATTATTAAAAAGAAGTTTGGTTTTGAGACTTGTTTGTTTGACTACACCAACAACCAATTAAAACAAAATCATTCACCCACCTACCACCAAAGCACTAAACGCCATTTCCCAAAAAGCATACAGTGGTTTTTAACCAAGTCTCTTATTTTTAACCTTGTAGGCATAACTTCCTAAATCCACCCACACTCAAGTCACTATTTGGCTAATTGAGTCACACTTGTAGTCGGAGAAATTGACCAAAAGTCTGTTGCTATTGGATACACAACACAAACAAACCCATTTAGTCCAAGTCTAGCAAGGTTTCAGTTCAGTGTATCTTTTACTATGCTTCTACACAGCTATTTCATAATCCAATGAAAACAAACACATCTTAGCAAATTAACTTAAAGATAAGGATTTAAGAAGCCATATTATTAAAGCTCCCTCAAATTAGATTCTGTTTCTATCAAACAGCAAAGATAATTCCAGTGAGGTAGCTTTCAAGCCATTCCTTCTAGATATTTGCTTAGGTTCCATATATCTTTTGCAGCTATGTTAAGTGAAAAACAAAATGCATCGCTTTGCTGGTCATCTGAAGAAGTGGCTGTGCCCATGAAAGCTCATGATACCATCTACATGTTTTGTTAGTCTTTAAAGTGCTACCAGGCTATTTGTTGTTTTTTAAGTTTATCCTGTACAGACTAACTCGGCTACCCCCTGAAGCTTTTGTAGTAATTGTACACTATCAAAACACGTACTTTAAAGATCTTTAGATGAAATGGGAAGTGAAACATTAGCATAGTATTTATCCTCTTTCCTCAAAACATTAAGTGCACCTATATTTAATACTTAATTCACAGTGCATATGTATAATAATTCTAAATTTAAACCTTACCTCTCAGAAATGTATTTGCATGTATTCTGAAAATAAACTGCTTATACTTTTCCCATTTCTTTTAAACAGAATCAGTATTTCATAACCCCAGGCCTATTGTACTACTGTCCACAGAGGAAATCCAGGGCTGGTTTAAAAGAGGAAAAAGTGCATGATCTTAACATGTGGACCATAAAATTAGAATACATGCTTTCTGCTGTATTTATTATTATTATTAGGGGGCAGTCAGGGAGACAATCAGAATTGAAGCTGCACTGTGCTAAGAAAAATGCAGGAGCATAACTATAGCAGTATCTGCCCCAAAGAGACTACAAACAAATGCTAGATAATGGACAGGATTCTTGGGTGTTTATAAACTATCATTGCTCAGTAGAGCTACAATTGCACTGGTTGAGAAAACTGGCCCAAAGTGCTGACGATTCATATTGACAGTTATTGTGAAATCATTGTACAAAAATCATAGTTTTTTAGTCTCCAGTCCTCTCTCTTATCTAAGACAAAAGTAAATAGCGAATTTTGCTTCAGTACAGGTGGCAAAATAAATCTGGATTATACATGTAGGTTCTGCAATGACAAAAAGGGCTAATGAAGTGATACATGAAAGTGGTAGGTTTTGTACTCTACAGCAAGTTGTCTTACGCTTTCATCATTCCTAGAAACACTGCATTAATTCCATCCAGTGCAGCCTTCTTATGTCATTAAAGGCTGGTCCTATTGAAATCTGTAGGAGTTTTGCCACAGATGATCATGAGAGAAGAAAAGTCCTAAATCCACTGTCACTAGGGAAATATACAAATAATGACAAAAATGAGCCACACATATTGTAATGACGTTCTGTAACTTACTGCTAGTAAATACTTCCCCCTCTAAGACTGATCCAAAGCCCACTGAAATCAATGGGAGTCTTTCCATTCACTGCAATGAGCTGTGGATGAAACCACATATACAATTTATATTTGTGGAAAGGACTGGTACACACCTGTTTATATTTACCTTGCTGATTCAGGTCAAAGTCTTCTACCCATTGAGCCAGATTCTGATCTCTTTACGCAGACTGATCCCAATGGAGTCCCTCTGTGTTTATACCAGAATAAAGCAAATCAGAATCTGGCTCATCTCCTATTCTTTGTCTTTTATTGTCTGTTACATTCACCCCAGCCCAATTAACTGCAGTGTTCATTCATAAGCAAAAAACACCAGTTCACTTGAGATTCCCTGCATCATCCATCAATAATGTCTAACTTCCTCTAAATCTACATTAGTCTCCTAAAAATCTTAATAAACTGGACTCTTAGTGAGAGACCACTAATTTTGTCTACAATTTAAAGGTTTGGTCTTATCATAGTCCAACCATTGACATACACTGGCCTGTGTAAATCCTATTTATACACAGCTATCCAATTCAACAGCTCATTTCCAAATGTCATATTTAATATCATCCATCCCACACACACACAGCAGAGCTTTCACATTTCCATCTCTCAGGCTCAGGAACAAGATTTATAATGGGTGTGTCCTTGCGCCAAAGAGAGAAAAGCTTTTTCACTGATCCCAATAATGCAAACTTGTATGTCAAAAAATAAATATGTAGCATGTGTAACAGCCTCCCGTATGCCGCAGAAAGTTAGTATCTCTGAACGTGTGGTAACTGTACTATGATCAGTTCCCATAATAATGGTTTTATGTAATCACGTCTTTTCTTTTCCCTTCATTAGGAGTGGATTGAATTCTGTGTTGCAGGAATATTCCTGGAGAAGAGAAATTTCTCATTTCTACCCCTAATCTTAAAGGGGGGTGGGGAGCATCTCACGCACCCAAAAATCACCCCCCCCCCCTTTTTAAGCATTGTTTTCGCTGCACTGGGAAGAAGGATGGAAGATGAAAAGAACAAGCCCCATCTGCTCATCTCATCGGAGCAGCGCCATTACCTCCTGGAGGAACAACACAAACACTGTCCCCAGCGCCTCACAATCACAGCCCTCTTTGTATGAGCAGAGGGAGAAAAAGCTGCTCCAATCACACCAGGCAAAAAAAAAAAAAAAAACCACACTCAGAACCCAGCCAAATCCGTCCCCCCCAAAAAAACCCCACAAGTAGTGGAGAAGCCCAGCCCTGCGGATATTTCTATGGCTGACCCATAGTTTAAACTCAGATGGTATCCTCAGTTGGATTTATTTTAAAATCTCCTCCTTGCCTCCAACCCCTCCCTTCTCCCATCCATCCATCCCTCCCTGCCCTGCTGTCACCCTGCAGCTGCAAGGACTCCCCCGCCGGCCGCCCTTCTGATTCCACGGGGAGTGGGTTGCAAGCCGGGCGTGGGTTGCAAGCCCACTTCCCACCCCGCTATTCCCCTAGGCAGCGCTTATGAAACCAGGCAGCCACCCGGGCGTGTTGCAGCGGCCATGCATTTGCCGGGCTCCATGCTCGCAGCATCCCTGAGCGGAGGAAACAAGCCCAGATCCGGTGGGACGGATGGGCCCCCACTCTTAGCCCCCCCCCTTCTTTTTGCAGCCCAGCCAGCTTTTGCACAAGCGCTGGGTCGTCTTCTCTCTGCAAAACCCCTGCAATCCCCTCCCCAGCACACAAAGGGCTTAATCCCCCCCCCTCCCCCTTGC